CAAGCTTCTACACTGTAACAGTGTCTCCACAAGCTTCTACACTGTAATCCCTTTACTGCTGTCTCTGGGAGAGAGCAGAAAGACAAGAAAGCTCTGCCCTCCCAGAGTTTGCCTTCTGGGGTCTCTTCAGAGACACAAATCATTTCTTGCTGCAATCGGTTTCCTTTTAAAGATTGTAGAATACCATGACCAATGGCCTCTTTCTTTCCTGTCTCTGTAGCTGTTGAACTCGCTGGCCGTGGACCCCGATGCCAACTGCAAGTATGGTCTCTATTTTCGAGACGGCCAGAGGAAAGTGGACTACATTCTCGTCTACAATTACAAGAGGACCTCAAGCCACAACATTCTGGCCCGAGTCCTCCATGTTGATCCCTCACTGGGGGCCCAGAACCTCAAGCAGGAACCTCTGCCTGGCAAAGATGGGCCCCTGGACACAGGCGAGATAGACCATCACGAAGATGACAAGCGATCCCGCCGGGAAGAGTATGAGAGCAACCTTCTGGAGGCTGGACTCGAGCTGGAGAAAGATGAGGGTGTAACTATCACTTCCATAAATCAGGGTGGCTGGAGGGGGGTTGGGTCCGAGGGGGAGGCCGGAGCCCTGCTGGGAAGCCCAGTTGGTAGAGTGGGCTTGTACTTTTAGATTTCGCCGTTAACATCTCACTGTGTCCCCTGGTGCCCAGATCTTCCCAGGGCAATGACTATTCTTAAGAGTAGAACAACCTACTCTTAGAACTGAACACACGTTCAGTCTTCTTCCTTCCACGTTGACTTCCAAACCAAGCACAGCTAGCCAGCTGCTTCCTTCTTGCTAACCCTAACTTGCTGAGTGAGGCAGTCACCTTCACCTGGTCATGGGGTGTCTGAAAAACGAAAGGGATGTCCCTGACTTTCTGGGATACTGTGAGGTTGTAAGAATGAGCAGCTGAAGAAAAATGTTGTACAGAGAAAGCAGTGGGGAGACTGGGGACTGGGGGCTTCTGGGAGATTGGCTTCAGGTTCAGATCCACTTCATATTTAGCTGAAAAGAAAGAATGAATCCAATTTAATTCAACAAACATTTATTAATTATGTAGGGGGGTGACACAGTGCAAAGATGACTTTGGTAGCTGTAGGGAGGCTGGATTGGAAAGGGGCCTGCCTGGAAGCAGGGAGGCCGCTTAAGAAGCTATTGCTGGGGCAGCTAGATGGCGAAGTAGATAGAGCACCTCCCCTGGATTCAGGAAGACCTGAGTTCAAATCTGACCTCAGACACTTGACCTTGGTCAAGTCACTTCACCCCATTGCCTCACCAAAAAAAGAAGAAGAAGCTATTGCTGTAGTCCAGGTGAGAGGGGATGAAGCTGACATGTGAAAGGAAGGAAGAGTAATTATACTAGGGGAGGGAGAGGCATTAGCAAGACTTTGCAACTGGGGAAAAGGGAGGAGGGAGAGTAGAGTAGAGACCTCAGGTGCCTGGGAGGATGGGGGGACACCTGGCCAGACAGAGGCAGGTCAGTGACCATTGGATGCAGCCAAGGCGATAAAGAGTACCCTTCCCTAACTGAGCAGTCACATTCTGGTACATCAGGGAGCTCAGGTGGGCTGTAGATCTTGCTCCTGTGAAACCTTGCCAAAGGCTTTTATTGACTCCCGGGCATTAGATGGAGGCTTGCTCAATGTTTACCTGCTGGGAAACTGTATCTTAATGTTTAGCAAATAAAGAACTCCTGCCTGGATGAGCGGCAGCCTCCAGAAGGACTCAGTTATCTGAAAATCCAGCACAAAGCACCAAGAGAAGCATTGGCTAGGAATCTTCAGCAGACAGTCCACCACAGGAAGAGCCTCAGATTTGGAGGGAGGTTCCAAATTCCCAAAGGGCACATTCCCTTTTTCTGAAACAGATTGGAAAGTAGAGATTGGCTATGCCTCATATACCCTTCGTGGAACCCTAGAGGAATGGGGGGGAGCTCAGAGGCCTAGAAGGCCTTCAAGGCACCACAAGGCTCCATCTAGAGACAGTCACTAAGCCCTTGCTGAAAGACCACCAGGAGGAAGCTTGCTCCCCACCCCTGGCGGGCTCCTCATTCTGGGACAGCTGTCATGGGAAAGAAGCTTTTCAAGTCTAAATGATTCTCTTTACAGCTCCCCCTTTACTTCTTTGTTTGTTTTTTGTTTTTTGGTTAGGCAATGGGGTTATGTGACCTGCCCAGGGTCACACAGCTAGTAAATATTATGTGTCTGAGGTTGGATTTGAACTCAGGTCCTCCTGAATCCAGGGCCATTGCTCTATCCACTGCGCCACCTAGCTGCCCCCTCCCTCCTTACTTCTGATTCTGCCTTGATGAAGGTTAGCAGCCATGCTCATTAATTCCCAGAGCTAAAATCTCCTCAGATTTAAAGCACCTACTACGTTCCAGTCACTGTGCTAGGCACTGGTGATGCAAAGAAAAAACTGAAACAGTCTCTGTCCTCAGGAAGCTCCCATTTCTACTAGGGGGAGGAGGGCACAGAACATATTCCTAGATGTACAGCAGAGGATATAGACAAAATAAACACATGTCTATTTCCAGGGAAGACACCGAGGAAATTGGAAAGATAATGGTTGGAAAAGACCCAGGGAAATGAAGAGAGCTTTGACGTGGAAGGTGGCACTTGAGCTAGGAATTCCATAAGGGGAGAGCATTCCAGGCATGGTAGACAGCCTGGACAAAGGCCCAGGGGCAGGAAATAGAATTCTTTATACAGGGAATGGCAACTAGGCCAATTTATCTGGACCACAGAATTTGGGAGGGGAGGCATGTTGTTCACCTCAAAAGATAGGCTAGAGCAGTTAGTATTTGATTTTGAAGACAGTGGAGAAATGAAATGTTCTTGAGAACAGGAGGGGCATAGACCTGTATGTAAGGGATATCAGTTAGATAGCTCTATTGAGGATGGGTGGGAATAGGGAGAGGCTGGAGGCAAGGAGAGCAATTAGAAGGCCGTTGCAATGGTTCAGGCAAAGGGGGATGAGGGCCTGAGTTAGGGTGATGGTGGTGTGAATCAAGAGGAGGGAATTAGACAGACATGAGAGAGAGGTATTGAGGAAGTAAAATCACCAAGACCCGGGAGAGGATGGGTACTGGGGAAGAGTCAGAGGACTGCACATAGATGGCGATCACGGTTGATCGGTAGTACATGGGAATGTTGGTAGAAAACTGAAGTTAGGAGCAAGGCTGGTTTTTGACTGAACGACAGTGAGGCAAGTTAAATAGATGCCTGTGGGCTGTCCCAGAAGAGATGAGCAGCAGGCAGTGGGAGCTGCTTGACTGGAGCTCAGGAGAGACACAAGGCCTGGCCTGGTGATCAGATAGCTTGATTAGCTTGGCACCAGGTCGCCTGGGAAGAAACAAAGGACCAATCATTGCTGGCTCCTCAGGAACCCCATTCCTTCCAAGGGACTGGAAGGCTTTTCTCTTCTAAAATACTAGCACTCAGCAAGGTTTCTTCAGGCTGTTGGAGAACAAGGGTTGAGAAGGTTTGGAGGAAACTCAATTTGGGTAGCAGCAATTTCATGCTGAGTACTATAGTTATTGGTGCAGATTCCTGGTATCATCGAATATGACTAAGGATGTAATGCTCAGTGTGTACATATGCCTCAGCAATCAACTTTTTCCAACCATTAGTTCTAAATAAGATCCTAAAATGGGCACAGCCCTGAGGGAGACAAGTTCTAGGCAAAGCTTTATTACTATTATTTTTTTTTTTTTTTTTGGCAATTGAGGTCAAGTGACTTGCCTAGGGTCACACAGCTAGTGTGTCTGAGGCCAGATTTGAACTCATGTCCTCCTGACTCCAGGGCAGGTGCTCTATCCACTGTGCCACCTATCTGCCCCCAAAGCATTATTTCCATTCCAAAGAAACGAATCCATTTATTTGGGGATTACTCCTTAAGGCTGCCTAGTGGCTGGTTGGACATCTCTTCTGAGTGCACTGAAGCATCACATTGACTATTAAAAGTTGTCAGATACTTTGACACCCCAGACACAGTCTAAATTTTTCCCATCTCACCTGATCTGGTGTGTATGGTGGAGCGTGTTAGGGGAGGGCCTTGATCAAAGTTCAAGGCCATTTATCCTATGCCCTAATGGAATTTCACCCCCATAGGTGGATCTGTTGTAGAGAGCAACGCACAGCTGCCATCTGCACAACCAGACACAAAGACGAAAACAAACCCAGACCAGAGTCTTATTAAAAGGCTGCCTGGATGTTAGGGAATATGCGAGGGGTGAGGGAGCTAGGGCCAGGGTGACTACCAGGGATGGCTGCTCTCTGATCCATTTCAAAGGAGAGGAACTGGCTTCTTACTAGAGGCCTGAGCTCGCCTAGACCTATCTGTTGGGTCCTTTGGGGAAAAGAACATTTAGGCTAGATGGCTACATTCCAATCTCTTCTTTTCAAGAGATAAAGAAAGAAAGAGTGAGTAAAAGAGAAAGAAATAGAAATTCAGAATGACAAGTTAGACAGGCCGGCCAAATACCTTCAGGAGGATGGGATCCCAGACGCCTCGTCGAGTTAGAAGGAACCACGGGGTCCTCACATTGTCCTTATTTTAGGGATGAGGACACAAGATACTGGTGTTCCTGTCCGGGCAGCTCCATTGTGAATGCTATCCAAAGGCCTTCGGTTACTGCCTCAGCACACCTGAGGTTCTAGGGCTCAGGACCCCCAGCAGTGGGGTTCCGTGAGTGGGAACATAGATGTACTCCACCACCTAAATAGCTCTTCCTGTCTAAAGTGCACATTTTTTGAAGCTGTGCCATATAGGATGTTGGGTGTTTATATTATGGGAGTAACCTATTTTTAGAAAGTGCAGAATACTCCAGCCCCAAAATAGATGGACTCTATGCCCTTGGAGGCTGGCCTTTAAGGGGGAGAGGAAGCACACCCTGTCCCAGTGTTGAACTTGGAGAGACCCTATTAAAGGCACGACCATTAAAAGCTACAGCTATGTGAGTGTGAGCTGTGTGAATGGAAGCATTCCCCACCTGTAATTCAGAATGCTCATTTCCAGGATCTTCCTTCATAATTGTCATAGAGCTTTGCTCCCTTTCTTTCCTGACTCTGTGGGTGCTCCCACTTTAGAGAAAGGTGGCTGGCCCTGGTGGAGAAGGCAGGAAGGCTCCTTCAGAGGCCACTGGGTGACTGCTCCGGGCACCATTGGCTGGTCCCTGGAGCTGTGGAGGGACGTAGAGGTAACTATGCCTATTGACTCAGCAGAAGTGAAGGAAGCTAAGAATAGGGAAATGTCTCCCTGCACGTAGGTCAGCAGCTAAGGAGACAGGCTCCGTGGTAAATGTCACATCTGAAACTGGAAGGCCCCTCTCCTCATGGCCCCTGGCAGTGAGAAGACTGGCACATCCCCACTCCATAAGGCTGGGCAGCTAGGGGGCATCATGGGGAGGTGAAAGAAAGCATTGGGAGTCAGAGAAGACCTGCGTGCAAATCCAGCCTTGGACACTTACAAACCGTGTGACACAGGATAAGTCACTTCTTGCCTCAGTTTCCTCATCT